CATGCAAAAACCTCCCCTTTCCAATTCACTTTGTTCTGGTGAATATACTTTAACTCAAAATCTGCACATATTGTCTAATATAGATGTTTTTGTGTTGTTTGCTTATATATGTGCTGCTCCCCAGTGCTAAAAGCAAATTAAAAGATGTGGCAGGTCCTAGACACATTTATACATTGCCAAGTAACTGTATGGAATAAAATTAGGAGTGTTCTAAAAATTTGGGACTTCTGGAGGCTGCATCCGTGTTCAGTGTTCCAACCATTTATTTTGCTTCCCATTAATAAGACGTTCTGTTCTATATCAGCCTTTGTTTTATGAGAGTAAATCTTATCCGCTCAATTAGACTATAAGCTTCTTAAGGACAAAAGGCACAGTTCATATACCTCCCATATAGCTCTGTCCATATAACATAGGTAGCTACACTCAAATGTTTGATCAGTTCCATAAATACAAGATATTGCATTGTCCATAGCTGTTTGGGATTAGGAACTTGCAAAAGTAGCCTAACATTAAGGTAAAAGGCAGACTGGAGAATAGTAGCCAGCTTCAACCCTCCAGAGAGTAGCTCAAGTCAGGCTTGGGGTAGATCTATGTTGAGAACAAGTATAATTGCCCTGGTCCTGAGTGGCCCCAGGTCTTGTCTGGCAGACTGAGTTATATCTATTAGGGCCTTTTAAAATGCTGACTTGGCTCCTTAGAAATACAAAACCCAAAACATCATTTATAAAGGTCACTGGGAATGGCCTGGGTCAGAATAACTTGAATCCGTTCTGCCAATGCCATGGAAGAGGAAGTGGCTGAATACTTACATAAGCTCCTTGAGAGTACTATGTTGCTAAGTCCAAACAAAGAATGAGAAAGGTTTATAGCTGAGTTTTTACTCTATAATTCAAATGCCAATCCAGCAATGAAATATGCTCTAGGAATTCCAATCAGATTATCATCTAACTTGAAAACCAGCTGTGCTCTCAGTGAGTACAAAGATTTATCACCTACAAGTGCTGTAATTCAGAATTATGCAGAGGTGAAAAACTTGAGAAAAACAGAATTTTTATTTAAATGCAATGAGAACAGTGCTTTAAGAAATTCTGCCTCTCTGAAACCCACAAAAATGGCTCTAATTAAAGAAAGAAGGGAATTAAAGACTAAAAACTCAAACTCAAGAATTCATGTTTATCCAAGAGAAAGTATGCTTTAAGATAATAAGTGAAAATTGCAACAATTTGGCAAAGATTATCTTTTGAAAAGAACAAGTGAGATTATCTTTTGAAAAGTAGTTGGCTCTTTAATTACTTATCACCTCGCTAAAAACTCTGATAACCTGCTTTAACTATTTGAGAAGTGGAAAGCAAGAGAAAAGAAGTTTAACATCAGTGTGGGACAGCTTTATAAATGCTCCAATAAACTCACAGCAGTAATTTTGAACCAATAATTTATTTCACAGAAATTAACAATTGTTGTGTATCTGTGAACTTATATATCGATGCCTTTCAAATATATTTTCATTTAAAAAATGTATGGGATCAAGGATATCCTGGAAAAGCCAGTGCATATGGTCCTCATACCAGTGAGCCCCCACTTCTCATTCATTTGCCCTTGTTCCTTCCACACATGGGATACAGCTGCCTTTGTATAAAGCTGATGCGATATAATTTTGTCACTTATATCATCACCTGAGCACTCAGATACCACCCTAAGAAAGCCAAGCAAGATAATTTTTTTTTTCAAAATAATGCTTTCAGCAGGCCTTTTATAGCCATATCTGAAAGCATTTCACACATGCACACACACACACACACACGCACACATACAATTTCTGAACGGGTTATAAAGCAAAATTTTCAGGTGGAAAGATGCAGTGAACTTCACAGCTCGAGATATGTAAGAGACACATCAGGAGTACAGAACTGCAAGCTTCAAAAAGCTGCTAGTGAAATCTCTGGCTCTCAAACTCCTAGCTGTAAAATTAGATGATTAAATTGGATGATCTCTGAGGTCTCATCCAACTCATTTCTTTCATGGTTCTCATTTCTCCATATATCTTGTAAATACTGAGACTGAGAAATTAAGATAGTGCATATCTGTATTTAACCAATATTATAGAATCTCATTTATTGACAAGTTTTCCTTAACAGAGGTTCATACAAAAAGTAGATAAAACTGTATCTACCACAAGGAGATTCAAGATGCATTACTGGCACAAACTGCTTAAGTATACATATTAGGCCTGGCTGGTTTCTTTAGTTGGTTAGATCATGGTGCCAATAACACCAAGATCCGGGGTTTGATCCCTATACCAGCCAGCCACCAATTAAATAAATAAATAAATAAAATAAAGGAGAATACACATTAAACTGAAACTATTTTAAAAGGTAAATGAAAGATCACACTGTAAATACAGACTTGTTTATTTTTTAGAAAAATAAGAATGTCTTGGACAATAAAGCTTTTAATCTTTATGTATGTCATTCATAAATAAAAACACAACTACCTATAGTAATCCTTCTGTTTAGAGAAGTCAGTAATGGAAAATTACTTTCAATTGAAATTATATAAAAGTAAAATGTCCATCCCTATTACCAAAAGATAACACCCTCAAACAAACCCACTTCAAAATAGGATGTCCATTTTTCAGAAACAATTATGGATACGATATTACACTTGTTCTTACCTTCTTTTATGATAATTCTTTTTTTTAAAGACAATATGCAGTAATTTTATTTTGGAATTTCTGATAAATAGATCATAAGTTAATGTGATATTCACAGATTTTGTGACAAAACTACAATATTTATTTACACATTCACATATAGCACAATGTAGTGATCAAGTATTAGTAATAGGTAATTAACAAACCATTAAAGTAATAAGAAAATTGGCATTTTAACAATTTAAATACTTTGCAACAGGACAATTTATGTCCAACATATAACACATATTGGATAACTTCAGAAAGAAAATACATCAGTTTTTTTCATAAGCAAAAGTTGCAATAAGATTTTCTTTTTTTTCCTTTTAGTCTTTTTTACTGACCAGTAACGGGATCGCAACCCTCAGTGTTGCGCCCGCACCGTGCTCAACCAGTGAGCAGGAACCGGTCTCCACATGGGATCCGAACCCTTGGCAGGAGCGGCCAGGCGGCGCACTCTCCAGTGCGCCACTGGGCTGGCCCTGCAATAAGATTTTCTATATTATTTTCAGCTTCACTTTAGAAATGTTTTCATTGTCTAAATTTAACTAAATTCTTTGATTAAAAATATTAATAGTAAAATTACATATATATAGTATGTATACATACATGTGTATGCATCAATTAACTAAAACTCAGGTTGTAAACCAAACCCACTGAAAGGCAAATTGAAGACAAAAATAATGTTGACTTAAGTTGCCTGGTAGCTGAACCCTTGACCTTGGTGTTATAACACCATGCTCTAATCAACTGAGCTAACCAGCCGGCCTGGTTCTTTACATAAACTACAATTTCCAAGTAGTGTTTTAAGATCCAGATTGATAATTCAACCTGCTACTTTTGTTTTTCTCTGTGTCTTTTTCATAGTAATTTTTGTGTCTTTTTATTGATTATATAAAATAGGACTTCCATTCTCAACACTTCTTCCAGGAGAAGTTAAATCAATTCAATTAGATATTGAGTGTTACATTTTATTTTCTTTATTACCTGGTCTAAAAATACTCTAACAATGTAGTATTTCTTCCATCCATTTAAATCACTATTTTCATCCAATAATAAGAATAAAACGAGGCCGGCCTGGTGGCGCACTGCTACAGTGTGCCACTTGGGAAGCGCGGCAGTGCTCCCGCCGAGGGTTCGGATCCCACATACAGACCGG